AAATTCATAGAACAAAAGAGTGTTACCACACATGGGTTGCCTCCCATTAAGTGCTTGATTTAATGCCGCGGCACGACGAAGTTGATGTTCTTTTTGTTTCACTCAATGGTCGGGCATGGAACATCTTTGAGAGCCAACTGCTCTATAATGTCTTTCTCCATCAGTGCCCAAGTAGTGCTTGATGCGTTGGCCATTTACCTTGAATGTCCGGGACCCATCTGTTGATTCTAATTCCACAGCTCCATAAGGAGAGGCATTGACCACTTTGAATGGACCGGACCATTTTGATTTAAGCTTGCCCAGAAACAATTTGAGCCTTGAGTTAAAGAGCAAGACCAAATCACTCGTCTTGAACTCTTTTTTCAAGATCTTCTTGTCATGGACAAACTTCATCCGTTTTTTGTACACAGCTGCACTTTCATAAGCATGGAACCAGAATTCCTACATTTCATTGAGTTTTGTTAACCTCAAATTTGCAGCTTCAGCCCAATCTAAGTTCAGCCTTTTCAATGCCCACATAGCTTTGTGTTCCAATTCCACGGGTAGATGACATGCTTTACCAAAGACTAGCCGATAAGGAGAAGTACCAATAGGGGTTTTGTAGGCCGTGCGGTATGCCCACAATGCATCATATAGCTTCCTTGACCAGTCGGTCCTATTTGCGTTCACAGTTTTTGCTAGAATGCTCTTGATCTCCCGGTTGGAAACATTCAACTTGACCACTTGGATGCAGATGATAAGGTGTGGCCACCTTGTGCTTTACGCCATACTTCTCAAGCAGCCCCGAGAATGCCTTGTTATGAAAATGAGATCCACTGTCACTAAGGATGGCTCTAGGAGTGCCAAACCGAGTGAATATATTTTTCTTCAAGAAGGCGGTCACACTCCTTGCCTCATTGTTTGGTAAGGCAACTTCTTCAACCCATCTGGACACGTAGTCCACAGGTACCAAGATGTATTTCATCCCGCAAGAACTTACAAAGAGGCCTATGAAGTCGATTCCCCACACGTCAAAGATCTCTATCTCCATCAGAAAGTGCATTGGCATTTCATGCCTCTTGGAGATTGAACCTTGTCGTTGACATTGGTCGCAAGCCTTGACCATTTGATTAGCATCATGGTAGATGGAAGGCCAATAATACCCACATTCAAGAACTTTAGCTGTCGTCCGATTTCCTCCATGATGACCCCCAACCGGTGAGTCATGGCATGCCTTGTGAATTGGCATAACCTCTTCTTCGGGAACACACCTTCTGATAATATTGTCAGTACAAACACGGAACAAGTATGGTTCCTCCCAATAGTATTGCCGGCAGTCTCTCAAAAACTTCTTTCTTTGATAAGATTCCAATCCGTCCGGAATAAGGTCACTAACCAAGTAGTTAGCAATATCGGCATACCAAGGAGTAGAAGTGCTAGATAATGCCAATATGTTCTCATCAGGGAATGCATCGTTGATTTCAAGATCTCCCTGTGGTCTCCCTGCTTCCTCAAGCCTTGACAAATGATCCGCCACTTGATTTTGAGTTCCCTTGCGATCTTTGACTTCGAAGTCAAATTCTTGCAACAAAAAGACCCATCGAATTAATCGAGGCTTTGCATCCTTCTTTGCCATAAGATATCGAAGAGCTGCATGATCAGTGTATACCACCACCTTGGACCCCAACAAATAAGCCCGGAATTTTTCAAAAGCATACACAATAGCAAGAAGCTCTTGCTCAATTACTGTGTAGTTCATTTGCGCCCCATTGAGAGTTTTACTTGCATAGTACACTGGGTGGAGAACTTTGTTGTGACGTTGGCCAAGCATTCCTCCAATGGCTACACCATTGGCGTCACACATGAACTCGAAAGGAAGTGACCAATCGGGCATGACAATAATGGGTGTCGTGGTGAGCCTTTGCTTTAACTCCTCAAAAGCTTTAAGATAGTTCTCATCAAACACAAACTTGGCATCCTTTTCGAGGAGTTTGCACATGGGGTTAGCAATCTTGGAGAAGTCCTTGATGAAGCGCCTGTAAAACTCGGCATTCCCTAGAAAACTTCTAACACCTTTCACGGAGGTCGGTGGAGGAAGCTTAGAAATAATCTCAATCTTTTCCCGGTCGACTTCAATACCATGCTTTGAAATTTTGTGCCCAAGCACAATGCCTTCGTCAACCATGAAGTGACACTTCTCCCGATTTAGCACAAGGTTGGTCCCTTCGCATCGCTTAAGCACTTGTCAAAGATTGTTAAGACAATGCTCAAACGAAACACCAACCACCGAGAAATCGTCCATGAAGACTTCAAGAAAGTCCTCAACCATGTCGGAGAAGATGGACATCATGCACCTTTGGAAAGTGGTCGGAGCATTGCACAAGCAAAATGGCATCCGGCTAAAAGCAAAAGTGCCATACGGGCAAGTGAACGTAGTTTTCTCTTGATCTTCCAAAGCGATGTTGATTTGATTGTAGCTGGAGTAACCATCAAGGAAACAATAAAATGACCTCCCCACTAGCTGATCAAGCATTTGATCAATAAAAGGCATAGGGAAGTGGTCCTTGCAAGTAGCACTGTTAAGTTTCCGATAGTCCATACAAGCTCGCCATCCGGTCACAATTCGCATTGGAATGAGCTCATTCTTCTCATTTTCGATCACGGTCATGCCACCCTTTTTTGGCACACATTGTATTGGGCTCACCCACGAACTGTCGGCAATGGGGTAAACTACCCCGACATTCAACCACTTGATAATCTCCTTCTTTACTACCTCTTGCATTGACGGGTTCAACCACCTTTGATGTTCCACACTTGGCGGCTTTGTTTCGCTCTCCAATTGGATTTTATGTTCACAAATTCCCACGGGGATTCCACGAATGTCCGCAATGGTCCATCCAATGGCTTGCCTATGTTCTTTCAAGACTTCCAACAATTGGTTTACCTGCACATCATTTAGCAAAGACGAAACGATTACGGGTAAAGTATCATTAGAGCCAAGAAATTTATACCTTAAGTGTGGAGGGAGAGGCTTGAGCTCTAGTTGTGGCGGCTCAATGATTGATGGCTTGGANATCACTGAAATGCTCTCATACTCATGGGGTAATTTCATACCCTTGCTCGCTTGAAATGTGACTTTTTCATCATTCACCCGGAACTTAATTTCCTTTCGCTCTGAATCCATGAGTGCTCTTCCCGTGGCTAGGAATGGTCTCCCCAAGATGATAGGGATCTCTTTATCAACAGCACAGTCAAGAATTACAAAGTCGGCGGGCAAATGGAATTTTCCAACTTTCACAATCACATCATCAACACTTCCTACCGGTCGCTTAATAGATCAATCGGCCATTTGTAACCTCATGCTTGTTGGCCTCGGCTTCCCTAATCTTGCTTTCTTGTAGATGGAAAGTGGCATCAATTTGATGCTAGCCCCATTGTCACAAAGGGCTTTTGCAAAGTCACGCTCCCCGATAATGCATGGAATAGTAAATGCTCCCGGGTCCTCTTTCTTTTGGACAGGGCTTGTGGCAATAATAGTGCTAACCTGGTGAGTCATGTTTACCACCTCATTCTTTGTGGTCCTCTTTTTGGTGATAAAATCCTTCAAATATTTGGCAAACCCCGGCATTTCTTGAAAAGCCTCCAAGAATGGAATGTTCACCGATAATTGCTTTAGAATATCATAGAATTTCTCAAGCTTGCTATCATCAACCCTTCTAATAAGTCTTTGAGGGAAAGGCGGAGGAGGTCTAGGAATAGGAGGTGGAGATTTTGATGTCTCCTTCTCCTTTTCCTTCACCTCTTCTTGGTTCACTTCTTGCACCTTCTCTTTTTCCGACACCCTTTCAACTTAAACAACCCCTTGCTCTTCTTATTCAACTTCTTGTTTGGCTTCTTCCCCAACAACCTCTTGCTCAATGTCACCTTGTAAAACTTTCCCACTTCTAGTAGTTATTGCCATGACGTGAGAAGTTGAGCCACTTCCACCACTCTTCGAGTTCGCAATGGTATCACTAGGAAGTTGCCATTTTTGCTTTGGTTTTTGCTCTCTTGAAAGGTCTCTCATTTGCATCTCTAACTTTTGGATAGATGCGGTGTGAGAGACAACAACTTCGGTCATGTTTCTCATAGATGCGTCTGACTTTTCTTGGTTTTGCAATACTCTATCAAGCATGCTTTCTAACTTTAACTCACTTGACGACCCTTGATTTGCATAATGACCTTTTGGGGGAACATACGGGTTGGAGATCTAGTTTGCAAAGTTGTTGTTGTTGTTCCAATTTCCTTGATGCGAGTTACCTTGATCATTTCTCCATTGTTGGTTGCCTTGCCCTTGCGGGTTTGGCCTCTACTGGCTTTGTTGCCCTTGACCATGGTAGGGTTGCCTTTGATACCCTCCTTGAGGGTTGTTGATATAATTTGCTTCCTCAAAATTTTCATCTAAGATAGGTTGGACATCTTCCACTGCATTCACTTTCTTTGTCTGATTCTCGGTAAACATCTTTGTCAGCACATTTACATTTGTTGCAAGCCCGACAATCACTTGATCTCTCTCTTGATTTTCCTTGATTAAGTTGCTCAAGGAAGGAGAGCCATATGAGATTCCTCCGGTAGTATCCTCTGAATGTCATGCTTGGTTGTGCTTTGCATTTTGTCCAGGATTTGTGTTACTCTTGCAAATGATTTGTCCATGAAAGATCCGGAAGCTGCATTCTTGGCGATGGCTTGGTTCATGGGATCCAAACCCATATAAAAAATTTCCAACAACATGGAATCCGGAAAACTATGGTTTGGAGACCTCACCAAGTATAATTTGAAGCGACCCCATGCCTCATGCAACTACTCTCCCTGTACCTGCTTGAAGAAGTAAATCTTATCCCGCAACTCAAACTTTTTGCTCTGCGGGAACCACTTGGACAAAAATGCCCGGACAAGTTCGGGCCAAAAATGGATAGAGTTGGGTGGCAGATTCTGGAGCAATTTCCTCGCATCCCCAGCTAGAGAATATTTGAAGCATCTCAACCTCAGGGCATCGTCAGAGACATTTTTTTGTTTGTGCATTGCAGACACACCCAAGAAATTCCTAAGGTGTTGTGTTGGATCATAGTCTGTGGAGTTTCTAAAAAATCCTTCTGCCTTGAGCATCAGAATTAGACCCTGTTCCACTTTAAATGTTGCAGCTCCAACAGCTGGCGGTACAATGACGTTAGTATCCTCAATGTACTCCTCGATGTCTGCGAAAGGATTCTCTCCCATTCCTGTCTCCGCATAATCACCATATTCAGACATGTTTTCCTATAAACACCAAGAAAAGCAAGCAAAGTGTGATGGAATAGAAATAGACGTTAAGTGAAGTACACACTAAATAGTAATTTCAAACCCGTATTCCCCGAAAACGGCGCCAAAATTTGATACGCTCAAATTACACTTTAATAAATAGTGTAAGGCGGTCGGTGTCAAATAAAATAACCCAACAAGGTTGGGGTCGAATCCCACGGGGAATAGGTGTGAAAAGGTTACTCTTATAATGTGTTGCTCGACTAAAGTCGTATCTCTATTCGGTTAACAGTAACAAGAGAATGGTTTTATAGTAACAAGAGTATGAATTGATTTTGTTTGGAAGTATCAACTAATTGGAATATTTATAGAGTAATTAATTGGATTAAAGAAACCAAGGTTGTGTCCCCTTTAATGGAGTGTAATGCTTATCGGTGTTAATATGATATATTTCTAATGGAAGGTTCTTTTGATATGCAAATGATGTCTAAGTGACTACCCAATATTTCCCAATAGTTGAGTAGTATTTCCTATTTATAATTTTCCCAAATATAAAAGAGTTGCAATTTAGAACCATCAATGTATGCCAAGTAAAACCCACTTATTCCTAAGCGATTCTATTAAACTAGGTTTAAAGCCTTGAGTCATTGATATTTACTTCTACCAAATTCTAACCCACTTTCCCAAGCAAAGCAAGAATTTAATGGCACTTGTTAATGTTTGCAACCACCAATAATAAATTAAGAATGAGAAGTAAATAAATATCAACCAACCATTATATATATATTCAATGTTAAACACCCATTAGCATAACACCCATTTAGGGTCCACAACCTTAGTATTTAAAGTTAGCTACTCATACTACAATACAAAAACCCCAGAGTATTTAATGTCATAAAAGATTACAAAGTAGAGAATCTTCACCCAAAAGCTTCCAAAAGTGAGGAATATTAATGTCTTGGAATGTGGTTCAAAGACTAGACAAGATGAACCCATAAAGACATCATAAAACCATTTATAGTGGACTCAAAATCGGGACAGAAAACAGACAAAAATGCCCTTTCAGGTCTGATATGCGATCGCATTCTTGTCGCAGAGCATGTATGCGGTCTGCATCTTGAACATCCTCATCACAGACTGGAACCCTAGTTTACATTCTTCGTATTTCAATTATGCAGATCGCATTGCAGAAATGCGATCGCATTTTGCATCGCATCTTCGTCCTTCAGTGACCTTCATGGTTGGTTTGCGGTTCCCTCTACGGCTCGCATGTTGGTTTTGCGATCGCATAATGGACCGCATTATTGACTTGAGATTTAACCCAGTTCTTTGCTTTTGTCTGTGATTTGACGTGCATTCTGCAGCTCGCATGTTGGTTCTGCGGTCGCATAATGGACCGCATTCTTGACTTGAGATTTAACCCAGATCTCTGCTTTTGTCTGCGATTTGACGCGCATTCTGCGGCTCGCATATCTGATCTGCGATCACATAGTGTATCGCAGACAAGCATTTTCGCTATATTTTGCTCTTTTCTTGTCTTTTTGCTTCCATTTCCATGTTCTTGGGTTCTCAGTCCTTATGTACTGTAGAAACAACAAAACTACATAAGTAACGGAGATAATTGCATTAATACAAGCTAAAATCCAAGCAATTAGTATTGAAATGTGACGAAATTCTCCGGCACACCACAAGCACTTAGAGTTCAACATCGAACCAAGTTGGCCCCATTTGCAGACAAAGATTAATCTCCCCAATCGTGGCCCATTGAGACCCATCAAAGTCTTTCACGTTCATGCTTCCTGCCCGTATTTCATGGAAACCTTTGCCCAATCTTTTCATAGTATCTAACGGACAAATGTTGAGGCTTGAACCTCTATCGATCAGAACTCTGGCAATGAATTTGTCTTTAAATTGTACCGTGATATGCAATGCTCAGTTATGATTCAACCCTTCAAGCGGTAGTTCATCCTCGTGGAAGATTTTCTTATGACTTTCTAGCACCTGCCCTACCATGTTGGCCATCTCTCCGCAGGTCATATTGTTGGGTACGTAAGCTTCACTTAACACCTTCATGAAAGAATTCTTGTGTGCCTCTAAATTATACAACATTGATAGGATGGATATCTGAGCAGTGGTTTTGTTCAAATGATCAATGACGGAGTATTCTCTCGCCTGTACTTTCCTCTAGAGGTCATATGGTCCTGTTTCAATGACAAACTGTTTGGTAGTGGCATCCTTACTTGGTCCTCCCAAGTGTTCGGGTGCATAGACCGTTCCGGTTCTGGTCATTCCTTTTGCAGCATCAGATTCTTCCACTTTTGCTTTCCTTTTCGTCTAGATTCAGCAACATAATCCCATGGTATTGCTTTTGAGTCGAAAGGAGGTGTGGTTGATATTGTCATTGTGAAAGGTGTGGCCACTTCCACTTCAAATGGAATAGGTGTGGCTGCAAGTGGAGCTACCTCTACCTCAAATGGAACCCATACAACTACCTCGAACTCGACTGGCGACTGCATTTGTACTATAATAGGAGAAAGTGTGACTGCAGGTTTAAAGTCATCGCCTTCTCGAATAAGCCTGATTGACCCATTCTTCATCTATCTCTACCACATGTACTCCACCGCCCCTATGATCTGGGAGAGGATTGTTGCAGACGTTGGGTGCAGCTTCTTTTGCATGTATGACCTTATTGTTAATAAGTATCTGGATCTTGTCTTTTAATATTTGGCATTCGTCGATGGTGTGCCCTTTCATATCGGAGTGATATGCACAAGTTTTGTTCTAATTGACCCATTGAGATGAGTTCTCCACTGCCACAGCGGGTATATGAGTGACGTAACCAGCGGCCTTCAACCTTTCATACAGTTGGTCATCTGTCTTAGCAATAGCAGTGTATTATTTGGGTAGTTTGCGATCTAAATTGGGTCGCGGTCTTGGGTAGTTTTGATGAGTTAGAGGTGACTGGAAAAGAGATAGTTGGGAATTATAGGTGTGATAGATAGTGGATGGTTGGGAATATCTGGGAGATGAGGGTTGATATGTAAATGAAGGTGTTTGGTATGTGGGTGGGGGTGTTTTGTATGTGGGTGTAGGTGTTTGGTATGTTAGTGGAGATATTTGATATGTGAGTGGAGATTTTGGGCCTTGAGCCACCATTACTGCCCCGACGTTTTTCTTATTTGATATGCCGCCTGATTGTAGTGCTTTGTTTGTGGCCTATAATGCCTCAAGTTTGGTACCATGCCGCTCTTGATGCCTTCTTCGATCCTTTCCCCAAATTTGATTATGTCAGAGAACTTATAGTTTTCAATAACCATCAACCTGTCAGAGAATTTATCTATTCCTCGTCCAATGTTGGCCAGATCTTGGCCACTTCATACCTCCATCGAGTAGCATACTCGCAAAAAGTCTCGGTGGGCTTCTTCTTGAGGTTCTGAATGTAGAAAACATCTGGTGCAATTTCTATGTTGAACCTGAATCGGTCCTTGAAATCTGACGCGATACTCACCCAGTTAGACCATTTATTAGGATCTTGGCTGATGTACCAGAACAAAGCATCTCTTGTAAGACTCCTCATAAAAAGTTTCATCCGGATCTTTTCATCCTTTCCGGCCCCGATGAGTTTGTCGTAATAAGTCCTTAGATGAACCCTGGGATCACCTGTACCGTCAAACATCTCTAACTTGGGAGGTTTGTAACCCTCCGGTAGTTTTACATCTGGTTGTATGCATAAGTCTTCATAATTCAAACCTTCTATCCCTGTGCCTTATTCAACACCTTGAACTCTTACTTGTCAATTTTTTGAGTTCCTCAGCCATCTTCCTAATGAGCATGTCCTTCTCA